GTGTACACCCAGGACCCCATTCAAACCCAAAGTAGCATGGTCTCAACAAGCTGATGAAAGTTAGAAGTGAGAATTTGCGGCTGGGGTTGTCATCGTCCTCCACTCCTCCTGATGTCGAGGGGAAATGGGCGAGATTTAGGATTGTGGCTAATGCAGCTGCAATGGCTGCTTTGGCTACATGGTCTAGACTTCCCCGGAGACCCTGTGTGACAGAGGAGGTGTTCAGGCTGGCTGATAAAAAGCGACAGGCCCACTCTCATCGGCGACAGCATCCCACATCGGAGAATGAGGAGGCTTACCCGCAGCCTTCGCTCAGAGGTTTAGAGAGCCGTGAGGTGCTGCAAGGATGGGTGGTGATCACGGGTTGATGAGGAGATGGAGTCTGCCTCAATGGCCCATGATAACAAATCGCTCTTTAACTCCATCAAAAGAGTAACACTTCCTACCATCATTAGGGGAAAAACGGTGATCTAATCTCCGACCCCCAGGAACAGGTTAGCAGATTTGCTGAGCATTTCTGTGAGGTCCTGGGGAGGGGGAAATCCCTCAGCCTGGAAAACAACATGGCACAAAGTGGGGATGACCCTGCTGAGGCTGCGGTGCCTCAAATATTGGAAGAAGAAGTCACCTCCTGTAAGTGGCTGACTGAGGTGCCATCTGTTGAGGAAATACTGACGGCATTCCGGAGTCTGAGACCAGGAAAGGCACCGGGCAGAGATGCTCTCCCAAGCGAAATGCTGAGGGAGGGTGGCGTTTGTGCACAGACTGCCCTACATGACATCATAACAACAGTCTGGATGACTGGACGGGTTCCGCAGGATTGGAAGGATGTCATGGTGGTCCACCCCCTTTAAGAAGGGGGACCACACTGACTAACAACTACAGGGGCATCTCACTCCTCGGTGTGCCGTGAAAGGTGCTGGCAAGGATTATTCAACATCGCCTTGCTAGGCACGCTGAGGAGAGGATTGCAGAGCCCCAATGCGGTTTCAGGAATGGGCAGTCCTGCACAGATGCCATATTTTCTGTCTCTCTGCTACAGCAGAGGTGTAGGGATTTCCAACAAGACTTACATCTCTGCTTTATTGACCTGGTCAAGGCCTATGATACCATCAGTAGGCCTGGGCTCTGGGTTGTTCTTCGTGCTTTGGAAGTCCCTGACTCTCTGCTCACGATCATTAAGGACCATCATGATGGTGAGCGGGCCCGGGTAAAACTACGTGGCCAGGAGTCGGAGCCAATCCTTGTACACCTTGGGGTGCGACAGGGATGTCCTCTAGCTCCCACATTATTTAACATCTATTTTGACCACGTAGTTTGTGAAGCCTTCAATAGCTGTACTGGAGGAATTTCCATCTGGTACAGATACAATGGGAGGCTGATCGATGCCCAGGTACGGTCAAGGGATGGCTCCCTATTTCTCAACCATGTTATGCATGCCAATAATCTGGTAATTGCTGCTCACTCAGAGGAGGAGTTGGAGGCACTGCTGCTGAACCTGGAGCTTGCCATTAAGAGGTGGGGCCTTACCATCAGCCCCACCTAAACTAAGCAACTACCTGGGTATTTTGTGCCATCAGACACTCCACCCCCACAACTCTCAATTGATGATGGGGCAGTTGTGGAGAGAGTGGAGAGTTTTCCATACCTGGACAGTGTGCTCATGACCGGCTCCGGTTTGACAGCAGAGGTCTTAGTCCGAATCAGTCGAGCGGCATTATATTTTCATCTGTTGCGTAACGCTGCTGTGTGGAAGCTATCTGCTCTGTCGCTCTGCATGAAGCTTCAGGTCTTCTCGGCCACACTCATTCTCTTCCTTCTCTGGTGGAACATCTGCGCCGGTTAGAAACATTTAAGGTGGCCTGCCTATGATCCATCCTGGGTTTAACCAGGCTGAATTGTGTGAGTAGCTCACATATCCTTGAAAGATCTGGACAAAGTCCCATCCGGCAGGTAAGGCTGCATTGGCTGGATCATTTAGCCCGCATGCCCAGCCACGGCATGCCTAAACAGCTTTTGTTCGGCCGGATCGAGGGGGCTAAATGGGTGCGGCATGGGCGCGAGAAGAGATGGACTAATGTGGTACAGGAAGATGTGGAGCTGAGTGGACTTTCCGATGATTGGTACCAGCGGTGTCAAGATTGGCCTCTGTGGAGGAGGCTCGTGAAGGACGCTACTGTGCAGTTGGAGGCATTCGCCCTCCAACAACAACAGAGGGCAGAGGAGTGACACTCACAACAACGAGCGGAGCGCCAGGTGTCTAAAGCGCAGCAAGTTGACACAGTAGGGGGCACAGGTGGTGCATCAGCCAGTCATCTCAGTCAGTCGACCCTTGGAATCTGGGTGTGCCCCGTGAGCTCGTGCCAGTGGGCGTTCGATCCTTCACGTGGCCTCAACATGCACATCGCCTGGCACAAGCGTCATGGTGATGTCACCGCCACTTAGTGGAGAATGGCATTTGTTGTTGTTACGACCTGCATTAGAATCAACACACTTGTGCCTGCTGCTATACATTTCCACAAATAGTGATAATCTACTTCTTTGAGCTATTGTGATGGCCAGGTCGCTTCTGAAAAATAGCTACATAGCTCAGTGGGCCTTACTTGGTAAAATAACAAAAGTATAAAAGATACAGTATACAGTGAGGGAAAAGTATTTGACCCCCTGCTGATTTTGTACGTTTGCCCACTGACGAAGAAATGATCAGTCTATAATTTCAATGGTAGGTTTATTTGAACAGTCAGAGACAGAATAACAACAAAAAAATCCAGAAAAACGGATGTCAAAAATGTTATGAATTGATTTGCATTTTAATGAGGGGAATAAGTATTTGACCCCTCTGCAAAACATGACTTAGAACTTGGTGGCAAAACCCTTGTTGGCAATCACAGAGGTCAGGCATTTCTTGTAGTTGGCCACCAGGTTTGCACACAACTCAGGAGGGATTTTGTCCCACTCCTCTTTGCAGATCTTCTCCAAGTCATTAAGGTTTCGAGGCTGACGTTTGGCAACTCAAACCTTCAGCTCCCTCCACAGATTTTCTATGGGATTAAGGTCTGGAGACTGGCTAGGCCACTCCAGGACCTTAATGTGCTTCTTCTTGAGCCACCCCTTTGTTGCCTTGGCCGTGTGTTTTGGGTCATTGTCATGCTGGGATACCCATCCACGACCCATTTTCAATGCCCTGGCTGAGGGAAGGAGGTTCTCACCCAAGATTTGACGGTAAATGGCCCCATCCATCGTCCCTTTGATGCGAGGAAGTTGTCCTGTCCCCTTAGCAGAAAACCCCCCTCAAAGCATAATGTTTCCACCTTCATGTTTGACGGTGGGGATGGTGTTCTTGGGGTCATATGCAGCATTCCTCCTCCTCCAAACACGGCGAGTTGAGTTGATGCCAAAGAGCTCCATTTTGGTCTCATCTGACCACAACACTTTCACCCAGTTGTCCTCTGAATCATTCAGATGTTCATTGGCAAACTTCAGACGGGCATGTATATTTGCTTGCTTGAGCAGGGGGGCCTTGCGGGCGCTGCAGGATTTCAGTCCTTCACGGCATACTGTTTTCTTGGTGACTATGGTCCCAGCTGCCTTGATATCATTGACAATATCCTCCCGTGTAGTTCTGGGCTGATTCCTCACCGTTCTCATTATCATTACAACTCCACGAGGTGAGATCTTGCATGGAGCCCCGGGCTGAGGGAGATTGACAGTTATTTTGTGTTTCTTCCATTTGAGAATAATTGCACCAACTGTTGTCACCTTCTCACCAAGCTGCTTGGTGATGATCTTGTAGCCCATTCCAGCCTTGTGTTGGTCTACAATCTTGTCCCTGACATCCTTGGAGAGCTCTTTGGTCTTAGCCATGGTGGAGAGTTTGGAATCTGATTGATTGATTGCTTCTGTGAACAGGTGTCTTTATACAGGTAACAAGCTGAGATTAGGAGCACTCCCTTTAAGAGTGTGCTCCTAATCTCAGCTTGTTACCTGTATAAAAGACACCTGGGAGCCAGAAATCTTTCTGATTGAGAGGGGGTCAAATACTTATTTCCCTCATTAAAATGCAAATCAATTTAAAACATTTTTGACATGCGTTTTTCTGGATTTTGTTGTTATTCTGTCTCTCACTGTTCAAATAAACCTAGCATTAAAATTATAGACTGATAATTTCTTTGTCAGTGGGCAAACTTTTTTCCCTCACTGTATATACTATGTATATTATAAGATAACATAATGTTTTGCTAGTGCCGGATCATTGAGACGGTGACGAGCGAATGCTGTCCAATGGTCGCACTGCAGAGTTTCAAGTTGACATCGTTGCTATGATTTTTTTTTATTAAACCCTGACTTGATGACCCACTCGAGCAGGGAAAGACCCACTCGGAGTGTTTGATAATGCACAGCAAGAGTGGAGCACACGTTTACGGCTGAGCGGACCTAGGGGGCAGTGATGGTGGCCACCTAATTGATGAATTTGTATACGTTATTTATTTTATATTCAGTGACTTTCTTAACTTTTCCTATACTTTGCACTGCTATCATTGTTTAAGTTTAACATGTAGGCTTCACGATCGATATTATCCATAATAAGTTTTTGGGTTAGATTGCATGAAAATAAATGTGTCATTAAACAACTCTGGTTGTTGCCTGATGAGGCTGGTTGTTGTAATTACTGGCGAAATGTAAGAGTACTCGAATTGTAAATGTTGTAGTGGGTTTACTCTCAAACATACTGCTGTGCTGTACTAGTAGCGAATTGGGACATTATATTTACGTGGCAAACCTTACTGATTGGCTGTGTCGGGTGGTGGCGGCTTTAACAACACATTTATATTCACGCGATCTAACCAAAAAACCTCTATTATGGATATCGTTTTTTTGTTTGTTTACTGTCGTTACTTTCTGACTCCCCCGCTGTCCACCGTGCAAACTTTTCCTGGACATTCGTGGAAAATAAAAAATACAGAGCCTTATCATAGCCCATGGGGTTTATCCAAGCTCACCTTCTCTTTGCTGCTATTCAATATTCGTAGCCAGTGAAACTCGAAGTGCTCACTGTTCTGATTGCACGTGTAGTTGCACGGCAGGATGGCGGTCTCCCCAGTGGCAGCGCTCACCCACTGCTGCACCCACACCTCGAAGAGCCCCTCACAGCGGGCGCCTGCAAGAGAAGACACGTTGGCCAAGTGATGGTAAGAGGCATCGTGGTGTCCGGCAAAAACAACCCCCTACCTCCTCGTGGTGCCGGACGGCAATGCTATGGTGGGCAGTGCCATGGGGGGAAGGCCAACTTAAATGGGCCATTCCCCTCATGGCGTCTGTAACCACCACAGCGGCCAAATGGGGGCTCTGGACGGGTGCGAAGGGCTGGTAACCCCTCCACCTTCAATTAATTACCACAAAACCACGACTGAAAAATGTAATTAATAAGCTTGTGCCAGAGGCCCTGGGGGTAGAGGCGCCTATGACGTCTCCTGGCCAAACCCCATTTGGCGGAGCCAGGAGACAGAATCCTTACTCTCGGGGCTCCTCCAGAAACAACAAAAACCACTGCGGGTGGCCACGTGGAATGTTCGAACGCTCACTGCGGAGAAGAGGCTGCCACTCCTCTGTCGGGAGCTGGACCCGTACTGCCTGGATCTCTGTGGTATTCAGGTGGTCCGGTAGACTGGCTCTAGCTCCTGCCGCCATGAGGAGTGGATAGTTTGTCTACCCTTGGCAGGAGACTGCCAAACAACAGGGAGTAGCTCTTCTTCTGAACAAAAGAATGAAGGGGGCGTGGGAGCATGACGGTGAGGTGTGAGAAGCTGTAAGCCCCAGGCTACTATGGGCTCGCCTTCCCAAAACCAGAGGCGAGGAGTGGTGGTCGTGGTTACTTATGCCTCCACTGAAGATAAACATCTGTGGAGGGATGCAGGCAAGGCCGATGAGTCAGATGCCTTCTATGTTCTCCTGTCACAGGTGCTAGCTAAAGTGGCCCCTCAGGATAGAGTCATCTTGTAGGGTGACTTCAATGCCTGAGTTGGTCATGATGCTAGCACCTGGTCAGAAGTGATTGGAAGGCATGGGCCAGATCAGCTCAATAACAACGGTAGGAGGGGCTGCTAGATTTTTGTAAGCCCATATGCTTGTACTTACCAACACGGCAATGCCGCATCCACACAACATCATGGATGCATGCCGGATCCAAGCAAGAACATCTGCTGGACTACATAGTGACGAAACAGCGGATGCAGGCCCATGTCCTTGACACCAGGACCTACCGTGGAGCTGATCTGCCCACTGACCATCGACTTGTCATCTGTAAGATGTGCCTGCCATTCTTCCACTCAGGTGGTGAGTGTACACCCAGGACCCCATTCAAACCCATAGTGGCATGGTCTCAGCAAGCTGATGAAAGTTGCGAGAATATCAGCATCACTTGCGGCTGGGGTTGGCATCGTCCCCGACTCCTCCTGATGTCTTGAGGAAATGGGTAAGGTTTAGGACTGTGGCTCATACAGCTGCAATGGCTGCTTTGGGTACACGGTCCAGACCTCCCCAGAGACCCTGGCTGACAGAGGAAGTGTTCAGGCTGGCTGAGAAAAAGGGACAGGCCCATTCTCATCGGCTACAGCATCCCACGTCGGAGAATGAGGAGGCTTACCGCAGCCTTCGCTCGGAGGTTCAGAGAGCAGTGAGGCACTGCAAAGATGGCTGGTGGTCGCGGGTATCTGAGGAGATGGCGATCCAAAATCACTTTAATTCTATCAATAAAATAACCTGCAACGCCACACCTATTATGATAAATAGGGGAAAGAATGGTGATCCAATCTCCGACCCCCAGGAACAGGTTCGCAGATTTGCTGCGCATTTCTGTGAGGTCCTGGGGGAGGGGAAATCCCTCAGCTTGGAAAACAACGTGGCACAAAGTGGGGATGACACCCTGCCGAGGCTGTGGTGTCTCAAATATTGGAAGAAAAAGTCACCCCCTATGAGTGGCTGGCTGAGATGCCATCTGTTGAGCACACCCGAGACAGCTTTCAGTTGGACCAGATGACGCCAAAAGGCGCACAACTCAAAGAAAATGCACCATCAGAGTATAAGAGATGGTGCATTGTCTTTGAGTTGTGCGCCTTTTGGCATCATTTGGTCCAACCCATGTGAGACTAGGCTCTAAGGAAAGCTGTCTCGGGTGTGGACCAATCAACTTCAAGGACAGTCCATACATTATCAGAGTTATGTTTTTTGTTTGCATTATGACTGCAGGTATTGTGGTCTTTGCAAACATGACTCCTCGTAAAAAAGGTGTAAGTTTTGTTGCCAGATAAAGGGTAAAAAAACAATTATCACATTTTTTTACTGGCAAATGAGGTACCAATGGTGTAAATGCTTACCCCGAGCTCTCATACTCTGATGGTGCATTGTCTTTGAGTTGTGCGCCTTTTGGCGTCATCTGGTCCAACCCATGTGAGACTAGGCTCTAAGGAAAGCTGTCTCGGGTGTGGACCAATCAACTTCAAGGACAGTGCATACATTATCAGAGTTGTGTTTTTTGTTTGAATTATGACTGCAGGTATTGTGGTCTATGCAAACATGACTCCTCGTAAAAAAGGTGTCAGTTTTGTTGCCAGATAAAGGGTAAAAAAATAATGATCATGTTATTTACATATCAGCCACGGAGACATAGCAAGGTATAAATCACGTTGTTAAGTTTGATTTTATTTAGTGCAAGTGTAGGGCAGATAAGAGGCACATCCGATTCGCACGGTTGGCTACGTACAGTGCGAAAGCAGATCAACACACACATAGATATATTACCGAGCCCACTCTTATCAAATATCAGAGGGAGGTGCCAAGCAAGAGGAATCGATGTACTCATGCAATTTGTACTCGTATATATTATTTAGTTGTATTTAATGATCTTCTTAGCTTTCCTATACTATGCACTCAATGTTTGTGTATTGTTTGTTGTAACTTTCTGACCCTATGCCCCTACTGGACATCTATGAAAAAGACCTTCATAGCTCATCCGATTCTTCCAGGATGAATAAAGATTTGGATTTTCATTCTGCCTGGGTGGCCTCCGTCTAGACTGGAAACTAGAATGCTTTGATACAAGGCGTGGTGATGTGGTCAACATGCATTTGGCTGCGATACATTTCCATGTAACGATAAGCCACTTCATTCAGCTATTATTTGTGATAGCCAGGCCGCTTTTGAAAGATAATTTTATATATATATCTCAGTGAGCCTAACCTGGTGAAATAAAAGTAGCTTTTATATTTCAAAAAAAGTGTTGACGTGATGAACAGATGTATAGGCAAATTAATTACTGCTGCTTATGAATAATTCACACATTCTCGAACAGATCTGTTTGGTAAGATTGAGATGAGACGGAAAAAGAAATTGAACTAAGAAAATGTAATCTAGCTGACAGCTCGGGCCCAGTAAACAATGCAACGTTGGGTCAACGTCCGGCGAAAGGGACCAACATTGCATTTGGTGTGACGCAAGCACTTACACACGAGAAAGTAGAGGTAGATCAGAGTTTGGCATCTCCTGACAGAAGCTTCTGTAACACAATAAAATGGCATTGATTGATTACATACCGGTTTACAGACTCAGAATATTTATTTCGACTCCAGCAGGTGGAATCCGATGAGCTATAAAGCTATTTTTCACACAGGTGTCCAGTAGGTCAGAAAGTTACAACGATGAATACAATACAAAAACGCCGATATGAGTGCAAAGTATAGGGAAGGTAAGCAAGTCACTAAATATAATAAAAATATATGAGTACAAATTGCATAAGTACATCAATTCCTGCCGCTGTTTTAACACCAAATGGAATATTGAGCAAGTCAGCAAAACAACAACAGCAACAGTCCCAGACCACACAAAGACAACAACACAGTCCCTCAATAGTGGCACTTTAAGACTGAATTATCGATACAAGGGGTAAGGATCAAAGTTTATAAATCACATTTGCAAATGTCGTTGTGTCCAGCACTAATCTCCCTTTTCAGAATATTTTTTATAAGGAAGCTTTACGATACTAAGGTAGGAAACAAGGCTGTCCAAAACGATGGTGCTGCAATATGAACAGCAATAACCCGGTTAACGTGGGGGATGTGTTCCTGAAAGGTGCGAGGACGAACATCGAAACAACGTCAATCGCTGCCATTTAAATACAGAGAACGGAGGGTACGCTGTTAATGTGCGCATCTTCATGTTTGGATTTCTATGAGTCTCTATGCGTCTTTATGGGTCTCTATGGGTCTCTATGGGGTTCTATGGGGTTCTATGCGCTCGTAATTTCCACACGATAGCCACTTCATTGAGCTATCATTTCGTGTGCTCAAGGTCACTTATGAAAAGGAGCTACATAGCTCAGTGGGCTGCATGGCACCACCACCCAATGACGTTTGACTGCGCAAAACAAGACAAAAACTCCCCCTTTGTCACCTGCAAGCTGTTCCCACCGATATTGATTACACCGACAAATATCCTTCCCATGTAGTCTTGAACAGGCTGTTGGGGAAAGTACCAATTGAATTGCTTAAACGGTCTGCGAATATACGATCGCAAATATACAGTCTAATCTCCACCACAACGGGTGAGTGCTGAACTAGTCACCAATTGGCATGTTTTGTTTACGTGACAAACCTTACTCATTGACTGTGACAGGTGGTCGCTTTAACGACACATTTATACTTAAGCGATCTAACCCAAAAAAAACTCTTATGGATATTTGTCGCGAAAGCCTACTCCGTGTAAACTAAATAGGCACAGCATATTACACACAGACACGTACAATATTAATTTATTATTTGAAATGAACGCGATGCTGAAAAAGGCACGACATCATGTGCATTTATTCAATGTTCCGGCTGCTCAGTTTTAATGCAGTTAAAGAGATATCCATCCACCCATCCCTCCATAGCTCTTTCCGGTAAATAATCAGCGAGCGTGCTCCTGGCCTCTTGCCCGGACGTGCAGTGAGCATCAAAGACAAAGATCCCCCGTGTAGTCTTAACAGATTGTTGGGGAAAGTGGTGTTAGTATGCAGCAGCACCACCTTTGAAGGCCAGCACAGCACACGAGGGGGTGGGTGGCTATGTTGTATATGTAGTGGGTTTAACGCGCGCAGGGGTTTGCAAACAGTGCGCACGCGTGTGTGAGCTGGGGATAGTGATGTCACGTTAGGGCGAACAGGTGCAGACAAGGAGAGCAACAAGATAGACAACCAATTAAGATGCATAGCGGTGATTGGCTGGCTGCAAATGCAGATACGGGGTAGGCGCCTCGCAGGCGGCTGATGGAGGCAATAAGCGTGGCGGAGACACCTCGTGAGCGACAGCTCAACGAGGGCCACCTGAGGTCTCTTAATGAGTTAGACTGTTAGAGGATATAAGCTGATGTGCGGAGAAACGCACTTGACTCTTTGGGTCTGTGTGTGTTTATGTTGTGTCTCTCTCCGTGTCTGTGTTTTGTCTCTCTCTCAAATTTAGTGCTACCTGATGACGGTTGCTTGTGTTGAAATCGAAACGTCGTACTCTATTATTTAATTTATTTTCTTTCTACGCGACTTCACCGAAAGAACCAAAGAGTAATTCCTGCAGTCACGAAAGCTTCAAATCAAGTTTAAACGCAGTTGAGTTGGTTGGAGTGAAGACGAGAGAATTCAAGAGAAGTCCGGGACCTCGCTCTCCACACCTCGTCCTCTCCAGCGGTGTTGGCTGATCCCCGGCTGGAGGCAAGGGTGAGGTTGGAGGAGTGAGGGTAGACATGCTAGCAGTAGAGAGGCTAACGGAATCCTAAGTGTGAGTGTGTGAAGGCTAACAGTAGAGAGGCTAGCGGAATCCTAAGTGTGAGTGTGATGTGGCTAGCAGTAGGGAAGCTAGCAGAGTGTATAGTAATAGGCTATCAGTGGAGAGGCTAGCTAGCAAAGTGAGAGTGAGCGGAGCGTAGCAGGCGAGCAGCGCAAGCGGAAGAGTTGCTACGGAGATACGTGGCGTTGAACGCGAGGAGTTCTGTTCGAATAAAGTGACACAGGAGAAAAAGAAGTTGCCCGTGTGAAATAAAAACACTACATCTCTATCTTTTTTCTAAAAGGGAAATTTGTGAATATGCGTGTCTGTTCAAAATGATTAGCGTACTTCCCGACATGCAACAAACTTGAAAATTTGCCATGTGAGTACTTTCCAGACTGTACACCATGCAAAAATTATGAAAATACATGTTTGCATATACCCGTGTGCGAAAGCGTAACAGCGGAGTGTACCTGCTGATCGCGGCTAAAGTGAAATGCAAATGTGTTGCAGGTCTAAGGCTTTCTTATCGTAGCATTGGTTTATTATTTGAGTCGTTAACTGCCGTAACAACCCTAAAGTTGAGTGTCTGCAGCAAGCGCGTATGTGTGTGCCTATGGACGCGCGCGTATGTGTGTGCCTATGGACTTGCGCGTTTGTGTGTGGGGGGAGCGGTAGTGTAGTGGTTAGCGCGCTGCGCTACGAACCCGACGACCCGAGTTCGATTCCCGCTCACGGCCACCACCGGTGACGATTATTAGAACTGGTCGAGGGCCTCCCCCAGGTCGACTCAGCCTCAAACGAGTAACTGGTGTGGTGTGTGAACATCGCCACTGGGGAGAAAAAGACGGCCAGGCATGGTAAATCCAAGTCCCGGGCGAAGCTGGGTAGTAAAGCTAGTATATTATCTCATTTTCACATTTGTTAATTATTTTAGTATTTTATTTTATTTTTACATTTTTTTAAATTCACAATATCTGCAACATTCAGCACCACGCCCGACCACATTTGTATCCCTAATGACGATGTTTGCGCACTGAAACCAAGGTACTCATTTTAGGCTGAGTCGACCTAGGGCAGGAGGCCCAAGACCGTGCGGATAATCGTCACTGATGTTGGTGGCTGTGAGCGGGAATCAGACTCGGTTCGCTGGGTTCATACTGTGCCACCGCCTCGGTCCCTCCGTCCCATACAATGGATGGCATTGTCCACAAGGATCTAATTACAGTATAGACAATACAGTTACAAGAGTAACAAAACCCCTATGTAGAGACGCGGCTGCAAAAGCTGCCAATCAACAAAGGCCTATTGAAGTAAATACACTGACAGATTACAGCACACAGACATGAGTGTTGAATTGAGCCGAGTTGTTGAGGTCAAATTTCGATTTAAAGCTTTCGTAACTGCAGGGATTCTTCTTGGTTCTTTCGGTAAAGTCACGTAGAAGGGAAATAATAAAATAATAAAAATAAACATAATAAAATAAATGTATCACGACGTTTCGGTCATAACACAAGCAGCCATTCTCAGGTGAAGACAGCTGTCTGAAAGACAGCGCTCCAATGAACACTGCTATGCTTCTAGATTTGAAGCTTTCGTGACTGCAAGGATTCACACTCTTAGGTTTTTACGGTAAAGTCAAGTCGGTAAAAATAAATAATAAAAATAATATAAATAATAATAAAAATAAATTCTAATTTTACCCCGGGGTACGCCGTAAGGCTCAATTGCACGACTGGATTGTCTTTAGTGCATCTCTATAATGCTATCTGCCTCTATCAGTGGAAAAGTGGAGTCACGGGCACGACCTCCTGGCTCTGACATTCCTGCATAAGGCCATCAACAGCAGCTGGCCGATGCTGCACTGCATCGCCTGCTAGGATGGGAAATTAAAGACAGCCAGTGCTGTGCGATTAGGGCCATGCAACCCAAGCTATGGACCGCACAGTAAAATCATATAGACACAGATTACTTAGAGACTTATAGACACAAAGAGACACGGAGTCTCATGGATACAGGGAGACACAGATACATAGAGACTCAAAGACATAGGGAGACAGGTAGACACGGGGAGACAGATACTCATAACGACACAGATACACTGAGACTCATAGACATAGGGAGATATAGATAAAAAAAAAACTCATCGAGACACAGAGACTCATCGACAAAGAGACACGGCACACGAAGGGTGGATGGCCAGCACCGTGCCCGGGCCCCTTTGTCTCCATAGTGGCGATGTTTACACACCACATCAGGTACTAGTTTTGAGTCGACCTAGATGAGACCCAGGAACCGGTTCAGATAATTGTCACCAGTGTTGGTGGGTGCGAGCAGGAATCGAACTCGGCTCCTGCGTCGTTCACAATCTCCATTGTCCCTCACTATGCCCCCCCACCTCCCTGTGCTCAGACAGGTTTCCGCTCATTTTCCCTACTGGCTACCCTCCTTTGGAATAAACTCCCACTCCGCATAAAACAAGCAGCTTCACGAACCATGTGTTGTTCCCCCCTTGAGATTGGTCTATTTTCAATATCGTACCCTCTCCTACTTCCCTCCCTTTTATCACCAATCCTTGTCATCCCTTCCCATCCCCCTTTTCCATAAGCCAATACTAATGTAAAGTGATTTGACAAAATCGCTACATACAATCCTGGATAAGATAATGCAGCCGTGCTACCGCTGCCCGGGTGTAGGCTACACACACACAGACACGCACCTGCTGCTGTTGGTGTCTTCATGTCGATGCCTCACGGTAAACTGCGCTACGTCCCATTGTTTCGCAACTCTCTCCCGCCTCCCAGCCCGCGCTCATAATGGGCGTGTCTTAGACCCTTTGAAAGGATTTTAAATAAATACATTTGATCATCAATTATCCGGCACGCGATTATATCCGTAAAAAAAACACTAAATGACTGCACTATATACATCACCCCATGCAGTCTTCGAGATTGGAGTGGTTATTATGCTACAACAAAAACAGTAACTTTTTATTTTTAAAAAATTGTCTATTTGTATGTTTATTTTTGCCAATGTCATAAGGTAAAAAAACATGTAAACGCAAAAAAACATATACACAATGCCTAAAAACATGTTACGCAAGAATTTTCAAAATTTAATATTTTAAATAATAATGATGATTAGTGATTTTCCGGCGTTTTTTTTAAATCAGGCACCCCCTTCCTCCTTAAGCCGCTAGTTGATCATCGATTATAATAGATTATAATCGGACGCGGGTGCGGGGAGGCCGATCACCCGATCAGCAGCAGCCCGGCGGGAAGGAGAGGAGGAGGAAGGGGGAGAGGAGGGGTGGAGCATCAGCCCCGACAGAACAGTGTCTCGCACCTCGCCAGCTCCCCCTGCACTGCTGACACGGCCCCAAAAGCACCTATGGCTGCGCGCTGGTGTGCCGCCTCCTGAGCCGCTGTTGTTACTATGCGGCCACATCCCGTTCGTTCTCTCATCACTTATACTGGTTGGGACCCCCGCCTAATCATCTGTGTCCGGACCATTCGCTGCTCGCCCCCAGTTGGTCCACTCACTGGGGGGTGCATGAGTTTAATGCCGCCGCCTTCACGGCACCCCTGTTTGGGCATTCCCTCTTGAAATGGCCCGGCTGGTTTCCCTGAAAACATACCAGATCACCCTAAGGCACTCAGCGCCCAGTGTACCAGGGGCCCTGGCGGCCCACCAGCGCCCACTCTTGGTCCCGACGTACCTCTATCTCACTGACACGGCGTTGGAGAAGCCGTGCATCATGCTGAATGCCCCCACATCCCGTCTGAGCACCCCTACATCCCATCCAAAGGTCCCTACATCCTGGTGTAGAGTTTCCTGCTCCTGCTGGATGTTAGTCGCCCCCTCCTGAATACAACACACCTAGGCGGGCGTGGTCTCAGTTGCGGCCGCTACCCGAGCCGAGTTCTGCCAAGCCGGGGTTTGTCCTCCTCCGAGTCATCCTCTACCTGAAGGGTCGCAACAGCCCGTCCAAAGTTTGCGCGATGTCTGCACGTGGGCTAGGAAGATATTCTCGCACTAATGCACTCGGTCCATCAGTGCAGTCATGCCAAGTGTATGGGCATGCCCACCTCGTCCTGCCACCACTCAGTGGCCCAGAGGTAGCACAGAAATCGAGCCCGCACGATGCCCCATACTGACCTCACGTCGTAGTCTGGGTGCGCCAGCTTCGCCAAGTCCAGGAGGTCCTCTGCAAAAGTGCGGATGTCCTCACCATGGTTGCGGATCCGGCTCTCCAGGCAGGTCTCAGCGACATAGTGCTCCACCGGCTCAAAACCGCTGGTGGAGGGCTTCCCGCAACTGACTGAAATTGTTACTTACCCCATGCAGGAGGACCCGGGCAATATGCAAGGAGACACGTTAAGGGACTATGTACTGAAATTGACGGCAACAACATGTAAACAGGTTAAGTCAAAGATCGCCCACTGACGACCATACAGGAGAAAATTGCATCGACAACAGAAGAGGATGGAAAACCCCACAGCACAGAATTTGAGCTCTATAATGACCTCTTGATAAAATGGGACACAACGAACAAGTGCCGTCGATTGGTTGTGCCAACATCACTGCGGGAGACACTCATTAACATGGTCCACACAGACAGACCTATGGGTTATCAAAACAGTGGAAACCATAGAATGCCACTACTTTTGGCCAGGGATGGTGCAAGACATACACGCATACAAACAATAATTATATTAGTGCAGATACAGGTGGGACAAAATAGGTGGTTTGTTCACCCCTCTCGGATGAAATTCTGCCTCTCTGAGTCAACCAACCTGACATACACACAAAACTCACCACAACCACCAGAAGGCAGCAACGTCCCATCAGGCTCCGATCTGTCTGTACCGCTGCCGTCTGTGCACCCGTCTTTATCCAACCAGACGTTGATCTTTCCAGGAACGACGATAGCGCATGAACCCCAAGATCTGCGGCAACAAAAAAGCAAAACAGATTGACCGTATGGGTGATTCTAGATTTGAAGCTTTCATGACTGCAAGGATTCATATTCTTAGGTTTTTTCGGTAAAGTCACGTAGATAAAACATCAAAATTAATAAAAATAAAATAAAACAAAAATCACGACGTTTCGGAGGCAACACAAGTCTCCGTCATCAGGTGGGACCGTCACAGCCGGATTAGCTGCATCAAGTGAGGCAATGATTCAAGATGTAATCCCTTAAAAAGCAAGTTGAGGGGGAGGAGAGGGGGGGGGGCTCATCAGAATGTGGTAGCCAATGAATGGAACGTATCGGGAGGGAGGGGGGCGGGGCTCAAAGACGGCACGGAGTGCCAACGTACAACGCATCGGGAGGGGGAGGGGGGGGCGGGGCCAAAAGAATGCACGACGGCGTGGACGCGGTTGCTGCTGTACAACGCATCGGGAGGGGGAGGGGGGCGGGGCCAAAATAATGCACGACGGCGTGGACGACGGCGTGGACGCGGTTGCTGCTGTACAACGCATCGGGAGGGGGAGGGGGGGCGGGGCCAAAACATGCACGACGGAGTGGACGCATGCCCACCTCTTTTGGCCCCGCCCCCCCCTCCCCCTCCCGATGCGTTGTACGTTGGCACTCCGTGCCGTCTTTGAGCCCCGCCCCCCTTCCTCCCGATACGTTCCATTCATTGGCTACCACATTCTGATGAGCCCGCCCCCCCTCGTCACAGCCGGATTAGCTGCCTCACTTGATGCAGCTAATCCGGCTGTGACGGTCCCACCTGATGACGGAGACTTGTGTTGCCTCCGAAACGTCGTGATTTTTGTTTTATTTTATTTTTATTAATTTTGATGTTTTACCTACGTGACATTACCGAAAAAACCTAAGAATATGTATGGGTGATTGTTTATTACAGGGCAAATTCACATATGCTCCACACCAAAATACACCAGTTTCCAGAAACCATGAGACAATGGGCTTCCATCACACCTGCTATACACACACAGACACACAAACACGCGATTGTCCACGTCTCATTACACACGCACCTCATCATACAAAAACAATCACACGCACTCAATCCAAACGAACCACGTCTTGGCTCATCTTCTTCACACAACTGTGTTGGTGCACCTCGCCGCCGCCAGGTGTCACCTATATGTTGTAAAGTTAGACAGACGACACCTGTTACCTTAGTGCGTCCCATGCAATCCGCAAAATACATTATTCTGATTGTTGGTACTTAGAATAGACATGAGATGTGTTCCTTCCTAAATTACGTTGTTATCACTGCTCTGCATTACTGTTGTTGTTACAAATCGAAATTCCTTGGACATCAAAGGGTTTAAATTTGGATTTAAAGCTTTCGTGACTGCAGGGATTCATATTCTTGGTTCTTTCGGTAAAGTCACGTTGGCGCAGTCCAGTGCAGTCGGCGTCATCTCCTCTTCGTGAATTGTCTCCACGAGTCGTAACAACCTCCACTTAGTCACCAACCACTCTTTGTTGTTACGCGTTCGTTCTTAAACGACGGTGCATCTTCACATCTCTATTTAAACGGATCCACTGCTGCTATCACCACTTCAGCTTCTCACCTCCTGAGGGCTCCTCTGTAGCTTATTGCAATGGTTCTTAACGTTTACTGCAGTCTTGCGCCTCTTTAGTTCTCAATCTTTAAAAATGTATAATGTTAATAAATGCATAGGTTTGTGTGTCTATGTGTGTGTCTCTGTGTGTCTCTGTGTTGTCTATCTTTGCCTGTGTGTCTGTCTGTGTGTCTCCGTGTCTGTGTTTTGTCTCTCTCTCAAATTTATCAATCTTTGAAAGAACGTAATCAACCAGGTAGGGTGTTGACTGTTGTGTTAGCCGACTCTCTGTGTTGTATTGCATTGTATTTCTGCAGCCAGGCCACCAAGATTATACGGCTTGCCAAAAAGATACATAAAGAAGATACACCTCTTCGTCCCATTGTCTCTACGATCAACTCACCCACATACAAACTGGCTCGTTTTCTGTCTGAAATCCTACTGCCTTTCACTGGTAAACCACCTCTGCGGTACTAAACTCTACTGACCTGGTGTCGACAATCAAGGGGATTTCCCTGTCCCCAGACGACCTGCTTGTCAGTTTTGATGTGGTTTCCTTATTCACCAAAGTTCCTGTACCTGACACCATCGCAATCATTGAAGACTTGGTTCATCAAGGACTGAATGCTGGGGTACCCCCCCCTGGTGAGACACTGCTTAACCAATACATACTTCACCTGGAATGGAACTTTCTACAAGCAAACTGAGGGCACCCCAATGGGCTCCCCCCTATCTCCAGTTGTAGCCAACGTCTTCATGGAGAAATTTGAGACTGACGCCATCCAGACTGCCACTCTACGCCCGACCTTATGGAAGAGGTACCTAGATGACACTTTTGTCATCTGGCCACATCGCCGGCCTGCTCTGGACCAATTTCTCGACCACATCAATTCCATACACCCAGCCATCAGATTCACCATGGAAGTCGAAAAAGATGGCAAGCTACCCTTTTTGGATGTCCTAATTAAAAGGAGACCTGATGGTTCAATGAGCCACTCTGTCTACAGGAAAGCCACCCATACGGATGCTTACCTAAAACCGGATTCCCACCACCATCCATCCCAGAAGAATTCCCTCATCAAGACTCTATACCATAGAGCCCAATGCATTTCCGACCAGGAACACATTGCCAGTGAAGTCAAACACGTACGCCAAGCTCTTAAGGCTAATGGTTACTCCGACTACACAATCCGCAAAGCCATCAATCCAACCATCAAGAAGGATCCTGTTGAGGAGCCTCTCAAGACCAACACCTTACCCTACATTGCTGGGGTCACAAAAAAGATCTCCAAAATCCTGATTAAACACAAGATCCAGGTCCGATTCAACACAGTACATAACATCCGTGATCTGGTCCCGTCTGTAAAAGATGTGGTTCCAGACATACAGTA